CTCACTCCGTGAGGTACTAAACAAAGCGCCCTCCAAGAAGCTTTCGTGATAACTAATTATGTTTTGGGGGTCCGAATGGTGCAAAATTTCTTCCATCTGCGGTCGTTGCGAGAGATCTTACCACCAGATGTTCCAAGTCATTAATAACAGGTTTGCAGAGGGAATATATGGGCAGGGTTGAGCCTTGCGTGACAACAAAGGGTTTCATTGATGATGTGGGTACTTGCCAGCGTAGGGGTCCCCTTTCATATATGAATATCTACGTGTTACATATGTATGTATATATGCATGCATATGTATATAAACACCTCCAAGATACTGTACTGAACTCCTGACTATGAGTACTCCTGAAAAGGATCCCCCGCCTTTTTGTGAACCCGTCTAATGTCAACATTCTGCGCACTAATCAGAACCATTTAGCCAGGTCAGAGGATTCCTTGCTTTTCGTGTTGACAAAATAAATAGTGCATGTCCTCCAGTCCTCCAGTCACATCAGAAATTATCCTCCCCGTCGCCGAACTCTAAACCGTAGACCCTAAACCCTATGCACGTAACCACTTTTGAGCCACGAAAGGTCCTGCTGCCTGGCCGAAGGGGTTGACTTCATTTCTTCCTGCCAGCAAAGCCAGAACCATTGTAGCCATCAGCGATGATGACTTACTTAACCACAAAATAATAGGCACCGCGCCGATAAAGCTTGAGAGGAAGAGTGAGAGTGGTAGAAGTCAGAAGGGGAAGTTGTTGTTTCACGGCAGCACTTGTTCACATCATGTTGGGATGCAGGCCTCCATCACTCGAATCAACCTGAACATGGATAACAAGGTGCAGCTGTTGCTACCGTCAGGATATGTGCTATTACCCGTGCAAATAGCACTGGAGGCATGCTTCCTGCTCTGAGAAGTGTTCATCTCCATGAACTGACATGATTTCATTGCAGACAGCACTTGCTCGTCCGCTCCTCTGGCCTGTAAAACGGGATGGTGCCTTCTGGGAATTCCCGCCCCAAACGTGCAGCCACCTGTCAGGGCAACTTGAACGCGCATCCTCTGCCTAGAAAAGTCTTGGGAATAAACTGGCTACGTTGGCTAGGACACCTGGCATAGTCAGCAGTCTAGTCTCGTGACCTGAATCAACTTGATCTGCGGTTTGTATTCCCTGTTGAGTTCTGTCTTCACAATAAAGAAGGAACGGCCTCCGCCCAGTCCTAGCGCTCAACTTGCGCGAGTGCATTTTACAGTGAGCCAACTTTGCCAGGATTTCGGGACCTGCTTCCACAAGCATTCTTCAGTCTAAAGCGCATTGTCACCGCGTCCGCGTCTTCGCTGGATTTCAGTTTCATAAATCTACTGAGAAATCCGGGCCTGCGGTTCAGGAAAAAGAAACACAACCTCTGACTTGCTTCCGCGGAGTTTTACAGGCGCTCCCTGTAGCACCCTTCCCCGCGGAAACTCCCCACACGTGCACGGCAAGGCAAACCTCAACGCTTCACGAGTCACGTGATTCTCATGCTCTTGTTGCAAGAAATTTTGTGTTTGAAGCATGCGATGCTACGAGCGCCGCAATTCAACGCAGCTACGTACGCCATGACGTGTCCGCGGGAGTACATGTCAATGAAATGATCTCTTCAACCGACAGGGTTTGCAGCACGCACCTGTTCAAACCCAACCTTTTGCTTTCAGACAGCAGCTCTGTCTTTTTGTGCCCGTACTTCCAAGCTTCACCCACTGGTGGCGTCGACGCGCCTCCCCGAGACGTGCAAGACCAAGACTCTTGAAGTCCACTGGTGCTGGCCTTGAGAGGCGACAGACTGGACCCCTTACAGACCCCTCATTTGGTATCTAGGCAGAATGTGAAACGACCATGCTGCGTCAACATTTTACTCAGCACCTAAGTGATGGAAAGCGTGGCAGCTGTTTTCTCACAGGCACGCCAAGATGCCTTGAGTGGCAACTTGAGCTACCGGTTGGTAGTATCCTTCCGTCTGAGCCACGGGCTTCTCTCGCAACAGCGCTTTCCCTGCGTCGTTTCCTGCAACCTCTGGAGGACTCACCTCAGGTCGCAGCGGAATCTCCATGAAACAAGACCCGTCTGCAGAAGACGCATATTCAACTGATTACGAGCCTTCAAGGACTCGGAAAGGCGTCCAGTCTCTTAGACCCAGGCTGGCGCAACCGGTTCTCGGCCTGCAGCAGCTCCACTGCGCGCCAGCAGCTCGAACCTCTGGCAGAACCTTGGACAAATGTCGGGCTCCAAGCCATACACTCTCCATGTGGCTGCAGAATCGGAGCTCCACTTCAGTATTGAGGTGCAAGTCAGAGTGGGTGCCAGACTCGGTGACATCAAGAGTTCCGCTGCCTTCTTTTTGACTCTCATGTATGTATGTAAGACATGCAGGACATTTGCCGCAAATACTTGGCATGGGGCGGAGCGGGCGCCCAAGGCGCAGCAAGTTCTCCACCACGCGCTGGTCCTGACGCGAGGGGCAACTAGCGAAGACCACAACGTTGCCCATGGCAAGTCCTCTGGACGGATTGGTTGCGGAAGGTAGGTCAGCAGTCGATCTAGCAAGATGTCGGCCTCGATTTCGGTGAAAAACAAATAATGATGATGGACAAACTATGTGGTAAGCTGCGGACGCGCAGGACCTGCTATGGCTGCACACATCTATGCATGGGCATGTCAATGTGACAATCTTGCGCAGCCTGTTACTGCTAGAAAGGAAAACTTACAGCCTGTTGGATGCGACTGGTGAGCATGCAAACGGGCAATGCCCAACAATGGCCTCAGCATCCTCCAGGGCAGCAGCCAGCGAAACAAAGCCTTGCGCCTGACGGTATATTTGGCATGAAGGAGTGACTGGCACGTGCTGACCACAGCTTGCCTGAAGACGCTGGTCGACGTAGCGGCACATATCAGCGGCTGGACCACGCTCACCTCAGGAGAACCCAGACTTGCACATCTTGCTTGTCAATCGCATCCGTTTGTAAGGTGCATACGCGGGTTCAAGGGATGGAAGTCCTCGCAGCCATTCCCTCCCGTAAAGATATGTAAAGATTCAATTTGAGTCACGCCTACCGAAGCCTGAGCACCACGTCTTCTCCCAGCATGTCAGTCCTTTCGCTCACTTTCCAGTCGCTCCAGTAGATGGCCATATGAAAACGCATCCTCCAGCTGCTCAAAGGCTGGCGCCACGAACAAGGTCACTGCGCAAAAATTGTGCCTCTCCGTGGAGCGGACCGCCTTTCTGAGGCCTTGGGAATCTGTCTGAAGCCATAGGTTAGGAAGCAAGAAGATGCCACACTTACCTTCCAGCTTCTGCCAGCTCTTTTGTGTATGCATATGCGCTTTGCTGTAAGGGTGGTGCAATCTCCTGGTTCCTTCTCCCAGATATTCTGCTATTACCCGATTACCCCAACAGGATTGCCATCAGGCTACTGATGAGTCATGATGAGTCGTCTCGCTTCTTTTCCTGATGGCTTGTTGCGAGGTCTGAATCGGTCGGGATGTGCAACGTCAAGCATCGGCGGCGCTTTGAGAACTTTGTGACTATCGCATCAACTCTCGCCTTGAAGGGACAGCTGATTGCTGCCTCAAGAGCACCCGGAGCCCTCACCAGCAGCATGTCAGATGACACGTCTATGACTATCTCGCTTTGTTTCCGAAAGGCTGCTGACCACACTGTCAGGATCTCTGTGCTAGTGTCAGGCATCTTTGCCCAGCTGTATTGGATGCCTGCAGGCTGAGGGTCCAAGGTGCAGCTATCGATCAGTTCGGTTACTTTCTTAGGCATCCTGAAGCCAAAGAGCCTTTGCCACACAGCTGTGCCACTCCCAAACGCCGCAGCAACCATTTGAAGATTCTCTTGTAAAAGCTCCTTCCTGCAAGTTGTCAGCAGCATCTCTGCATGGATACGGAGGTGTATGTTAGACAGTGGGACGACGGCCTTTGCCAGGAAGTCAGCACGCTTCCAGACGTCCAGGCTTTCTACGCGTCGGCCATCCAGGCGAAGGCGCATTGCAAGTTGCTGGAATGCTGGAACCAGTGGCCACATTAGCCAGCTCTCACGAACCTCTGCCGGCAAGGATGGCTCCACTCCCGAGCGCTGTAAAGCGGTTCTGGCCGCAGATTCTGCTTCGCTGATAAGACCTTCAAGTTGGGACACCTGAATAGGCCCTAACTTTTGATGAAATCCGGGAACCTCCGAACTGTAAAGGCGACTCCAAGGTTCTAGTAGGTCCTTCTCCGCTTTTTCAAGCGACATCTCAAAGCGACATCTGCCACAGCCACAGTTGAAACCAAACAAGTCGCTGAGCTCCTTCTGCCTCATGTCAACAGGCATCCTTATGTCACAGTAGAACTGGGTCAGTTCCTCGCCCGGTGAGATGTCACGCGCTGCCCGGAGAAATACCCAGTCGGCCAGCAAGACTTTGGACATGTTCGGCGTACATGCGTGGTTGAACAAGGAGGCAAGGGGAAAGACACCGTAACACTCATGGCGTTCCTCCTCGCTTCGCTGTGGCTCTTCCTCAACAAAGGCGTATTCGCTAACGGGCGAGGCACATCTGTACGCATTCAGATCAACAATGCGGCGCATGCGTTGCAAGGAGATTGCATGTTCTGCGTTGTGCTGTTCAGGATGCAAGGGATATGCATTGCCAGGCCACGCTGGCAGGGGCACAGCATCAGGAAAGGATGCCAAGTCTTCCCCGTCACACATCAGGTTCAATCGCTTCCAGTCCAACGGTGCCTGGTTGTGGGTCATTGGGTGGTCTTTGCCTTTCATTGCCTAAACTGCAAAATGCAAAACAGCTCTAAGAAAACATTCTGCCAGCTTCTCAAGGGTCCAGATCTGACTGCATCCGAACAAGCACGTCTCCAAGCTCGTTCTCTGGAGCCACGGCGAGAGCACGTTCTGCTACCAGCAGCTCTCCGGCTTTCAGGGGACATGCGACCCAAACACTGCGACCGCTTTCAGAAGTGCTCCGAACTTCCAGGGAGGGATGAAAGGTTTCCTTCACCGCAGAAAAGTCTTCCAGCCATACGGAATTCCAATCAATGTCATCACACATGGCCGGGCTGAGTTACCGGAAGCAAGCGGAGCAACTGAATTCGAGCCTGAAGTGCAAAGATGGGTTTGTTGAGCTGTTTGGTGGCCGGAGACATTTGCCGCTCTTACAAGTGGGGCCAAAGCATCCTATCCAACATTGTGAGATACACTGCCGGAGGCCTCGGGCGTCTATAGATGGCGGGGTGGGGGGGCTCTGCTAGGCCGCTCTCCTCTACCCTTGCAAGGCGATTAGATCATCTGAAACGAGAACTTTCGACAGGGTGCAAGTGTGAGGAGTTTCACTGCAGGCAAACGGAGAAAGGAGAAGTGGTAAAGCCCCGTGGCCGCTATCTGCAGTCCACTGCTTGCGTAACAAAATTTGCTGAGGCTCAGACGCCAAACGGCACACCTGAGCCACCTCATCGTCGGAGAGCTCTGGCGCAGCCTGATACACATCTGCTGAATGAGGACCTGCAGTTCCTGCCTCACCGGGCCACCTCCCGGACTGCTGCGGCCAGTAGCTCGAAAGGAAGGTAGACCTCTGGAGCAGAACCTTGCAAGGCATCTGGGCGCAGGGTCTGCACTAAGGGCCCTCTCTGAGACGGCCGCGGAAGATTGCTGCTCGGAGCACCTCTGTCCGCTGAAGCCGATAGAGATGCGTGCAGGACCTCCAGCACCGCAAAGAATTCATCCCTGTGCCAAAGAAGCTACGGTCCAGAGCTGTGGACAAGAATGAAAGATAAATGCAAATTGGCTGGGAGCCCGTCTCTTCCAGGCTCGGCCCAGGATCGCGCGGGGCCGGTCTTGCAGCTGAGCCATCACCTCACCGCTCGACACTGCAGAACTGTGCGGCATCGAAACAGTACTGGTGAGTTTTCATGGCCTTCGTCTCTTGCGGCTTCCACTGCGCTGGGTCCAAAGACGGTCTTGAAAGACACAAAATCCATGGCATCCTCAGAGCTAGGTAGAGAGTTTGCCACTCAGATTGGCACAAGCTTGTCTAGTCAGGCTCCGGGCATCCTTGCAGCCACCGATCACTTTTGCAAGCCTGTGTTCTAGGATTCTGCTGAGGTCTGTTTTTAAACTCAGCCGACATCATCATCGACTTGCCACAACTTCGCGAACGATCCAAGATCATCCAAGTCTACTCGTCTTCATCTCTGGCACTTGCAGTTTGAGATGCTTTGAGCTGCTGGCTGCCAGAGCTTGTTCATCTGCTCGTCAGTGAGATTCAAGTCCTCATGCAGGCAGGCTTCAAACATGATTCATCTCCACCTACTCTGCTCATGTTTGATAGCGTGGCTGTGTGCTCAGCCGCTAGCGCCAAACTGTAGCAACGCAGCTCGGAAACCTGGAAGCCCTTAGTGCCAGGTGCGGACCAAGGACCAAATCTGCCTTTCAAATGACGTCTTGACGTCTTGGATCATCTTAGCCTTCTGCTGACCTCCCCTTCGCCCGTAATGTCAAGGGTTGCAAAGGCACCGGACAGGGAGCCCTGTCGGTTATGCCGAGGAGAGCTTAGGTGCCCGCAGCTCCCAAGGTGATACATCTGATATTCTGCATTTTCCCACTGGGCCAGTCAGGGTGCGATCCGCAAAGCTGCATTGAGCGTTGAGTCTCGGATCTTGCCGAAGTCGGCCACCTGCCCTGTACCAGAGCACTACCTTAGTCGCTATCGAATCGAGCCTGACAGGAGACTCACCAAGTCTCTTGCATTATGCCTGACCCCATGTCATCATCATCAAGCACGCTGAGTGGATTGAAGAGATGGTTACGTCAGATGACAGGCTCCAAGGAGTGATACTTGGCAGCGTACCGGGGGCTCTGTTGCCGTTCCAGTCAACTGCAAACCGTGTGCAGAGAAAATGGAGCTGCACATCAGAACACGCTATTCATGTTCTGCGACACTAGATCTTTGCTGTTATCTGCGCAACATACCACTCAGTACATGAAGGTACATGGACATAATTTGATGGAATTTCCTGTATCGTAGCATGCAGCAAAGGAGCGAGACGTGCACGGCACTTGCTTTCAGCAAGCGTCTTGTCACACAAGCGAAGCAACACAAAACAACATCTAACCAACTTATTCCCAAACATCCCCCTCAATCGGCGGTCATGAAATCTGCCCATACGGAGCTCACTTTGAAGACCTTCAAGTCGCTTAACATGGCCTTAGCCGAAGCACAGTGACCACAGTCAGCAACCCTGAAGCACACCTCGCAATTTGAGTCCAGCGGCCATAATCTCCTGGGGCCTGAGGATGCAGAAGGAACAGCAAATCCATGAACTCTGCGCCGCTCGGAAAAGAGACTGCCTCTGGGAGACCGCCATCAAGCTATCCTGGACCTTCTTCTGCGACTCTTCAGCGGACAAGCCCGACAACAAGTCCTTCCAGAAAGATCCGTGGTCGGGTCTACAGGAACCTGAACCGACAGACCTGGTCAAATGATATCGCCACGCCCATTTGTTTCAACCGGGGACCAAAGCTGATAGAAGAGAGAAAATGGAAGGACTAGCAGAAATCGGAAGATCCCTTGGCTCTACGCGCCCAGGCCCCTTAAAACCGATCAAACCTTTCAGAACACATGTTGTTGGCAACGAAATTCATTAGCAAGAAATGCGTGAAGTTCAGCACCTGAGGACGCTCTGACCAAACAGAACCAACCCATCTGGGCGCCGCTAGCAGGAAACGTTGAGTCCCATTCAAGTCCTTCATGCAGCCCTGCAAAAAAGAACTGCTTCTTCGATGCAACCCGCTGTCCTCCTCTTTGAGGGCCTTCGTTACTCGAAGCTCCATGCTGCTCTTGTACTCGGCTATCTGTGTTGCATTGAGGATCCCGTGGCCAAGGCACCTGCATCGCATCTGCCAACCAAACATACAGGCAGGAGCTCCCGAAAAAGGGACCAACAAACCATGGCAAGGATGCTCAAACGCCCACAAGCAGGTAGGAGCACAACCCCGTCCGAGCCCTACAAGGACTTTGGATTGGAGACGATCATGCGGGAGAATCTCAAAATTGGGGCGCGACATAACTTGAATAGCTAGTTGCGAACATAGAGGACCTCCAATTTCTGAGACATTCCCCGGTCAGTCCGGGATACAGGCTCGTCTCAAATCTGCAATGACATGCATAATGTGCTAAGCCGGAATAGAGTTAGCGGCGTTTGCTTCCCTTCAAAAGACCCGAAAATGCTTCTTGCGAATTGCATTGAAGCTTGAAGACCAAACCTGCAGGGAAGACGACGCTTCCCCCCTTTGACGCTTATTGAGTCAGAGACTGCCTTTTTTGGGATCATTCACCCCCTTCAGTGCCCCCCTGCTCAAAGAGCCCGGTGCTCAAGGGAATTTGAAGAGTCACAGCATGTCCAACCATCAAATGGACGCTTCATGTGCGTAGCCACATTAGGGATCCGTCTTCAGATACAGACTCTATAGACCCTAAAACCCAAACAGAGGAGGCCCGCCTGTTCATGACCCTCATAACTTGTTCCCAGGTGATCTTCGTTCCGAAGTCCGCTTCTGCCTGTTCAGCAGCAGCAGCGGTGACGGTGATGGTGGTGGCCCGGTGATAGAAATATTCATAATTCGAATCATGGTTCTGCAGCGGGGTCGAGACTCATTGCGAGCGCTGATAGTAGCCCCATTTCAAACAGCTTTTCACTGTTCTTGTTACTGCCCGAATGCGATGCTCTTGATAACCACTCTTTCTGGGTCTATCGCCTAAACCATTGCAAAGATCACATGAGGTGACATTAAAATGTAATCCGGATGGGGAGAACAAAAGCTGCCTTGAGCAGCGAGAAGAGCCGAAGCTCTGGTGGCAAAGCATCCAACGCCTGGAGATCTGCGGGAAGGGATGCCAAGCCCGGTTGATCGGTGATTTTACAGGTGGCCTCTTGGAAACCCCGGAGACCACGCTGTGTCTTCATCTTTTTCTGATAATGCCACTTTGATGATTACACAGTTCTGTTCTACCATGGGGACTTAGGATCAGCACAAGCATGTAGCCTGCCATTGAGCTTCTGCAGCAAGAGGCAAAACCGGTTTGAGGCCCAGACAGTGTGGAACTTGACCATTGCCTCAGAAAGAGATGATGAATCTGTCGGGATAACAGCCCGATTCACCGAACGCCTTAAGAAAGCCCACTTGAATACCACGTTTCAGGTCACTAGGAAACTAAACCCTAAACCCTAAAACATCTCATCCTGAACTCCTAGGATGCGAACATCGACATAGTCAAAGTAGGTCATGTTACAATACTGAAATCAGGTTTGGGCAAAAGAGAAACAAGATGATGTAGTTAGTATCAAGCAGGATCCAAACCAGATGGTCACTTTAGGCTTGTCAAGTGTCAAGAGGTACTTCAGTAAATCAGCAATGTTCCAGACATGCCGCTGTCAGCAGCAACTGCCCCACGCGGTTCAACACTTGTTCCTGGTGTACGTTCTCTCCTTTATCATCCAACTGACTGGAGAAATCCATGCAATCATATGCAGACGTCCTTTGTGGCCAGTGAAACCCTGCCTTCAATTCTACTTGCATTGTGTCCTTCAGTTTGCCTGCTCTTGAACAGTTAAGCAGTTGTTTGAATAATCATTCATGTATGGCTTCCGTTTTGAGTTTGGACAAGAAGCGGTTCAAAAGGCAGTTGTTGTTGTGTGTTATTCTGCTTTTGGCATTTTTGCATTATCGGCGTCCCTTTACTCTGGGCTGCGGCAGCGTTAGCTTGTATTCTTTCTGGCATTTGTTGTAGCAACTCTGATTGGCATTGTCGCACTTGTTACAAATCTTGCATTCGCAAACCTCTTCTACTTCGCTTTTTCAACCCTTGCTGCACATTAGCCAAGGTCATTCCAAGCTTGGCTGGAACTAGTCCTCTTGCATCTTATGACTGCGGTATTGCAGCGGTAACTCCTTCAGGCTGGCATATGCAGCTACTTCAAGCCACGCGGTCGAACACCGTCAATGACGACATCTTGGGTTCATTTCATTGTCATCTTCGTTGAATCCCGAATTTGATCCCTATTGATGCTATTGTTGCTGACATGATAGCGATGCTCCCCTAAGACGATCATAGGATGCACAATGTTACTTTTCGACGTGCCAGTGTGCCTCTCAACGAATCAAGAAAGTGTACGTTTCGTCGGTGTTGCCTGTACATCTTTTGGAGCTGGATGGCGCTCCGTGAATTGTTCTGTGGTCCTCCTTTCACGCAAAGTACACTTGAGTGCCAGTTTGGTTTCGGCATTCCGTTTCGCCTACACACTATAGAGCGAGCAGGTCGTTTTCTTGAAAAAGCATGCGTCTGCTAGGCCTGATTCAGCTCACAAATGAATTGTTGAGCTTGCGGCACTGGTGAGTTCTGTAATCAACAGGTGCTGAAAGGATCGCAAATGCATGCGACTGGACGCAACGAATCACGGAAACGGTCTCTGATAGGAGAAGGTGAATAATAGGTAGGCCTGGCGTTACAACGCGTTGGCCCGTTAACACAGGATTCGTGTAACGGCAAGCTTGTCAACGTGGCCCAAACAAGCATTTCACGAGTTTATATGGCTTTTGGCTTTGTGACAGCCCTGAATGCCTTC